ATGCATGAAAACGCGACTACGGTTGTAGCTGGCCACCTTTTCTCTTGGTCTAGTACATTTTGGCTCTATTTCGCAAAGTATCGAATCTTGCTCGGATGATGTCTATCACGGCGATACAGACGAAAGCCTAGCCAAGTTTCATCGAAGTCACAGGACGAGGATCCGAGGACTTCTTCGTATAATTCGACAGTATTCCCTAAGCCGTAATCATTCTTTGGTTTCCAGTGAGACCACATCAAGAATTGTTGAGCTTACTTCCATTTCGAGTGAAAGTGTTGGGTGAAGAGATTCGAAGGTCGGTTCTACCAGAAGACGACGGCGAATTCCTCTTGACCAACTGACAATTGGCTTTACTTGAAGATTTATGCTGACGCTGTTTCCGAGGTGATCTCGAATGAGTATGTGTGCGTATGTGTGTGTGTGTGTAAACGTCTATACGCAATATCGGTCCTAAATCAGAGTTATCAAAAAAGACTAATGTCAGCCCTGGTCAATAAGGCTTGATGACCCAAGAAAAAGCCCTGACCAAGACAGCTTTTCTATCCTTGACAAAATAGTCATCGTCTGAAAATTAATTCCCCATTTAAGAGATATTATTAGAAATCAGGCCCAAAGGGTACATGATACTAGCATATCTTTCACTTTGCTCGAGAAGATGGGTGGAAGGGTTTCGTAGAGTGGCCCCACCGTATGCCGAAGGAGGGCTGCCTTGAAGATTTGTTTGTCGAAGTGTGCAAAGAATATCTTGACTCACCGTCTTACGGCCCTGACAATTCCGTGCTGGTCTTTCGTCCGTCATGTGAAGGACATCGCCAAAATCAGAAAATATTGTTCACGAACACATGACCTTTCTTTCTTTAGTGTTTTTTGCTGATTGTTTGTGAACATTGTCTTCTGGCTCTGACAATGTCCGCCAAATGACGGGCGAAAGTTCAGCACGGAGTCATCGGGTCGTAGGACCCACCTCAAACAAAATGAAAGGTATGCCAGTGCGATGCATACTATGGGTCTGATTTATAATAATATTTCTTTACTAAGAAATAAATTTTCAGACCATGGCCATATAGTCAAGTATAAACAAACAGAAACCTTTGCCCACATCTTAATTATGACATCATATCTTATTTCTTAGAAGATAAGCGAGCTAGTGAGGAAGTGTGAGATAAAAACAGTGTCCAAAGAAACCCCCAAACTTGCTTCAGTTATGTCAACATTAAGAAAGTAATATGACCCATTATCGAGCTCCAGCGGCTACAAGAATATGTGCTCCTGTGATAGACCTTATGTTGGTGAGACATATAGGCTTATTCACGAAAGATTAGGATAGAACGAAAAAACTTGTAAATTCAGTTGGATCGAACAGTCAATAGCGGTCGAACAGTCAATAGTGGTCGAACACACGACAGATATTGGACATAAAATAGAATTGTCTCAGGCGAGTAGGCCTGCTGATTATGATACATTTGCTGTTAAAAGAAGATGAGAGAAGCTATTGAAATTAATAGATTGGGGAATACGTTGAATGTGATAAATGGTGGTAGGAAATTGGATAAGAACTACTTATGCTAGATTGATAGATTGAAGGAGAGAGAGGTTGTTGAGCCGCGATCCAAAAGGACTTGTCAACTCAGCAATGGTTCTAACTTCACTCACACTCATCCAATACGATAGATTAAGCTAATCAACCAAACCAGTCGTACCATATTACGCTATTCTATATCATGCCCTTTCTTGTGTGGTCTAACCTTAATGGCCCTAGATTGAGAGTTTATGACATGTGGTTTCGTAACATGACTAACACGCTTACAAGCTTACATCTTATAATCTCAACCAGAGTTACTTACGGACTTGGCCGTCTTTGTCAGGGCTTTTTTTGGGTTATCAGGCCTTGATAAAAAGAGCCTGACATTAGCCTTTTTCGATTATTCTGATTTAGGACTGATATTACGTATAGACGTTTGCACACACACACACATATGCAGACACATACTCGAGCAAAAGTACCATGACCAATTTTAAAAATAGTTAGCCAAACCATCCTATATCTTTATATGCCTATACATAATCAAATTAATGATAAGCATCTATAAGAGGCAGGAAAGAGCCGAGCAGTCTTCTAGACTCAACCTGAGACTTTTACAAGAATGAGTTTCATTTCTGATGATCTCCATCATTTGATGAATTCGTCCGTTTTCCCCTGATACGAGAGAGGATGCTTCGTGAACTAAATCAACATGGCAGTTGTATTAGGACCAAACGTTTCACCATCATCGTGGCCGGCATGGGAATGTACCAGGTTAATGGCCCAATGCTGAAAATCATGAACACTATGGCAGAGGAACCGGGACCAGGTACGTTCCACAAGGTCTCCCTGACGCTCCGAACAAGTTGCGAAAACAAGATTGAACCAACACTATGAATGTAAAGGTTTACAATTCTTCCTTTATGAGTGCCCAATAATGGGTGAATAAAGCGTAAACCAGTTAAATGAAAATACAATTGAAATAAAAAATCAACTAGTTTTAAACATTTTTGTATGTGTGTCAGAATCCCTATTCCTGTAGCAAATTATTCCAAAGGTTTATCACAAAATATATTGATAAACAATTTAAGCAGGACTTCACTGTATGCAGAAATAAGTATCACAGATTCTTCCTCAGCGGTCCTACTTCTTGAGATCTGTTTAGGAAAGTTGGAAATAATCTGTTCCATATTATTTACGATTGTATCCCAACTCAGAACCATTCAGCTAATGTTTCAATGTATAGCAGCGAGTATTGGCTTGAGCTTGCCCTCCCCAGTCTTAGTTCATTTCCAATATGTTCATGCTGAAGATTTTAGCTTCCAAGTTTGAAAAAAAAGTGATTTCAGTCTTAAACACAAGAATCCTCCATTTATTGTAGGCAGATTTGCAGACTGAATTGCCGCCCTTATTTTTTATTGCCTCGGAGGAAGAGTACGCCTTTAGGTTTTTTCGCTTTCGATAGCATAAAATTAAACCGTAAACTCATTTTGTGCCATGCAAAGCCCTAGTCATGCGTGAACAAGATGAGGAAAAGATTAGAATGGCTGAGTTGCCTGACTTATCGTTAGCACCAAGTGATTATAAAAGTGACGTATAGCATTGCTGTCTATTTCAGAATTGATGAGGGATAGAAACGAGCCTAGAGAAATGAAAATACCATACCCAAATACTGCTTCGTTTTACGTTGAGATTAATTTCCTTTTCAAATGATCCCTTTATTTAGAATTTTAGCCCCAAGTTACAAGATCAGACCAATATTTATACCTTAGTATATAATATCATTTTTGGGCTTAGTAACATTGGTAGCCCAGAAATGACTTTCACCTTCCCTTAATTGGCACATTCATATTGATGTATGCAGATTTTGCATCTCTCTCACATTCGTTTCCAGCATAAATCGTAAAAATGAATCGGAATTATTCTGAGCACTCAGACATAAAATTGAAATGAACTTATTTTATGCTTTTTATTTATGTTCAAACGTGAGCATCGGATATCATTATTACTCGGATAAATGTAAAAGACTGTAATCTTTTCAGACTATATATATTCTCTCGTTAACTTATGAGGGCCAGGATTGCGTCAAAATTATTGTAGCACGAGCTTCTATCACTGTATAGAAATGATCTGAACCCGTTTTCACAACAGAGCGGATGTGTCCGACTGGCCTGAAAGAGTGAAGCATGTACAACAAATTCTATCTTCATCGTAATGCTCCTGAAAGTTAAATTGTTCCGAGAACAAAAAATGTTGCACGTGGTAAGACCTCCGAGATCCCTATTGCGTTAGCGCTGCCTTATGAAAATGAGGTCGGCTCATTTAATGGAAACACTGCCTTATGTCATAACCAAATTATAGTTAATTTACATTAGCCAGGTTTGCAAAATTATGTGAGAAGTGTTGTAGTAATATAATTTGATATA